CCATTTCCCTGCTTCCAGCGATTCCTAAAGTACTCGAAAAGCTAATTAACAACAGGCTAACTCGATATCTTGAGCATTATAAACTATTGGTGTCGATTCTGGCATGATTCTCTAAACCTAAACGTAAATTTGACAACAGTGTATCCTTGTCATTTTCCATACAGAATGAAAAGGAGAGACTGATGTTAAATTTAGTTTTAAGTTTAGAGAATCACGCCAGAATTGGCACCATTGTCTAATAACCAATTTGGCTTTCGTTATGTAAAATCTGCAGAAGACGCTGTGTTCGAACTTACAGATCGGATAGTTAAAAATAGGGACGAAGGCAAAAAGTCGATAGGTATTTTCTTAGATCTAGCCAAAGCCTTTGATACTGTCCCTATACTAAGGCTTTTGTCCAAGCTTGAGTCCCTTGGAGTACGAGGTACGGAATTAAAACTTTTTTCCGACTATTTGTCAGGGCAAACATAATGTGTTAGAATAGACCAACTCATAAGTGACGACTTGCCTGTTTCCTTTGGTGTACCCCAGAATAGTGTTCTGGGTCCTACACTTTTCCTGGTATATGTGAACGACCTGTGTAACGTACAACTTCATCAGGGCAAAATAGTTTCATATGCTGAAGATACTGCCATTTTGTTCTCAGCAGATAGTTGGGTGGAGGTTTCAATACTGTTTTCAAGTGGCTAAGAAATACTTATTTGACACTAAATTTTGATAAAACATAATTCATAAACTATTCGGTTCGTGACTCATCAAAAGTAACTGACACTTTTAATTTGTATTTTCATAGCTGTTATAACCAAGCTGAACAAGCGTATGTGTGTCCCTTAATAAATAAAACGGGCACAATAAACTATCTGGGCATAATGGTTGATGCCAATGTGAACTATAAGGCCCATATAGAATTATTAAATAGTAGGTTACGGAAACTTCTATATATATTTTAAAAAAATCGTCAAATTGCGACCGCCAATATTTTGAAACAGGAATACTATGCGCTGGTCGAATCAATATTATCATATTGTGTATCTTGCTGGGATGGGACTGATAAGTCCATTTTAATTAAACTTGAAATAACCCAAAGGGCAATTCTGAAAGTTTCTACTTTTAAACCTATTCTTTTCCCAACTCAGCTTTTGTATCAGTCTTGTGACGTCTTAACTATGCGACAGATTTTTATCTTAGCTTGTATATTAAAACAACACTCAGTTACATCATTCGACCAAAACTACATCAGTACTAGAAGCGGCTATAAATTTTGTGTTATACCGTCCTTTAAACATTCATACATGTATAAATTACATATACAATCAAATAAATAAATTTTTAAATATATATCCGCTCAACAAAGCACAATGTAAATTCAAAGTTTGTAATTGGCTTAAACAATTGAATTATGCAAGCACAGTAAACTTTTAATAAATACAATCTTAGTTGTACATTGTGTATTTCATGTATATACTTTTAACTTTCCAAGTATCATAATCATAGTATTAGCTTTACTAATCTTATATTCGACATCTAAAGTCCAATCTTCACACACCCTCCTACACACACACATTCACATTCACTTCACACAAAAGGAGATTCGATAAACACATAAAACACGTAAAATAATTGAATCCTTTTACTTAAATAATATGTTGATTTAACTTTGTTAAGCTAATTGACAAGAATTGTATATATTTTTTTTTCCTTACATAAAGGTTGTTTAACTGGTCCTTTGGGATAAGCGCTGTGTCTGTGATACAGGTATTTTTATAACCTAGTACTAGTACAGGCACAGAGGATACTATACAATCTTTATTCTAAGCTATACTGTATATTGTGCTGTACGATTCTTGTAAAAGTGGCTTGTGAAATAAATAAATATTATTATTAGTATTTTGAACGAAGCTTAAATTAACAAAAAAAAGCTTTTTTACTTTAGTTTTATTGTTTTAACAAAGCGATGGGAGTTTTATGTAAGACAACGTATCGTTTTGAGGAAAATTAAATTTGTTCATAGTGGATATTGATTTTGTGTTACAACCGTCTGCGCAACTGAAGAATATTCCGCTATTCCGGTCAAGTGGACGTGAGAATTTTATTGCAGTATTGACTACCTCACAGAAGCTTATCGAAAAAGCCAACTCGACATAATTTCTTGCCAAATATTCCAAGAAGCATTAGAATGCGTCACACCCACATTCTAATGTAAAAAAAAAGAAAGATTAATACAAAAATAAGATGATGGCTGCATGGCTTTGTCTTTGCCTTTCTCAATAGAGAAGAAATGAACTAAAAAAAAATCAGACCAATCCAGTCAGTCTCACAGACTAGTTAGAGATACTACGTATCAGACGACCGACTCTAGTACAAAAAAAAGTTAGCGTCTACACAAGTACTTCTAGTCTTGTATGACATTTACTTACTTTTTAAAATTTTGTCAAAGGGTGGCTAAGGCTCAACTTTATTCATCCATAAAATTTTAGGTACCTAGGTATCCTACTTAATCGGAATTTTTATTCATAATTAAAGGAACTTCAATAAAACACATGAATTATTTATTAAAAGATTTATTTTTTAATTTTTTATTATATTTTTCCAACGACTTTTTTTGCGTCATAGGCAAAGAACAATTACTTAATCGGAAAATGTCAGTGCCCTTTAGTATTTTGTTTTTTGTTCTGCACCAATTGATTATGGCAAATTTAATAACTAAATTTACAAAATTATCTATTACCAATAACTTGTGCTCGGTACATACAATAAAATCAAATTAATACTTAAAAATAACTACTTCTTTTATATTCTTGGCTATATTTGTTTCATGTCCTTTTATTTCTAAGTATTCATTTGATTCGTTAATTATTGTACCAAAGCACCTTACTGCACCTTCTGATGGGTAGTGCAACCGGTTTTTAGCTTTTGTATATTCTCTGTGACTTATCCAAACATGTATATTAGTTAAGTCCCTGGTGGTGAGGGAATTTTTGCATGTTGTGACTTTTTAAATTTTGCAATACCTTTCGCACTACCCATCCAGCAGTATAGGCCCGTGAGTGTACATTTATTTTTTCTCTCCATGCCTGTTCTAAAATCATATCAATACTGGGATGACCCGGCATGATATCTCTGTCATCAAACAGTGTTTGCAAATTAAGTACTTGATCAGCCGGGTCATCCTCACAATTAAACGTTTCATTATGAAATTTTAGTATTCTAGTTATTAGTAAGGATTTATTTGTGCAGCTGAAGCTGTGGCAGTCTGGGTCATTGTTCCTAAAATTATAGGCTCGCACTTGCCCAAAGAAATTTTCAATAGGGTCAGAATTAAAATATCTCGGACGCATTATCTTCATATTTTCTTTTTTAAAAAGCTGCCACAGCCTCTGATAACTTTTTAATGTAGTTATAAAATTTGCCAATGAGGGCACTGACTTTTCTGTTCCTGTATTATCGACATATTTCATTTTTGTAATTTATTTATAGATTCATGCCAGAATACATGATGCGGTGAATTATTTGTGACCGCCGTTCGTTGACACTTTCCTTTAGATTTTTTCCCTAACATGGAGGCTCCGTTTATGCTATCAAATAATTGGTCTAAGAATAAGACGGTCTTTGCAGTGTTGTCCAGGGTTTCACTGACGGGTCTACCATCGGCATAGTGCGCTGAAACAATATTTTAAACATCCTATAAAAATAATGTCTTTTTACAAATATTTATAACTTATACTAAAACGCCGCCCCCAGCTTCGTACGAATGCAATGTATACTATAATATATATGTAAATGTTCCTCTTCGATCATTCTTCTTTATTGCTAAAAAGTGCATGGAATCCGATGCCTAGATTAAAAGTTTTAGGGGTACATATAGAAAGAGCAATTTTGTACTATACTATCTATAGATTGTTTTATGAGTCCTGTTGTATCTATAGATTGTTTTACGAGTCCTGTTGTACCATGTCATATTATGACTATTACTTTGTCTGTTAGTGAAATAACATTAAATTTATTTTATTTCTATCTAAGATGAGCATGACACACCTTTTACTTCAGTACAACAGAACTAAATGTTTATCCAGTATTATAAAATATACTTACAAAATTTTGCAGTGTACGATAATGCAGCAGACATGGTACTGCTTAATACTTTTACACAATTCTTTACCTATAACAAAATACAAATTTCAATAAAATGTTGACAAGACAAAATAAGTAAGACCACCAACCAGATATTATGTAAGACATATGATATGGTCAGCATCAGATGATTGTACTTTTGATGCTGACTGTACTAGCTTTGCAAGATTATTTCTTTGTAGTAATGAAGGAGAACCCACCTTCATTTTCTTTATCTTTTCTGGAATAACATGTTCGTCATTCAATTTATGTAATAGCCTGATCTCAGCATGACCACAGTCTGTTTTGTAGACATCAACAATATCACTCCATTTGGAAATTCTCCCATCCATTAATATATTTTTAGTTATACAGTTATTCCGCAACCCCTTAATCAAATGACAGGGGTCATAAATAATATTTAAATTCACCCCTCTGATTTTCACAGTGCCATCTGAAAAATAAATTTTATTAAATACAATTTATATATATAATGTTGATAAACTTTTTTGCTGACTTATTGCATAAGATACTGTTTTGTAATAGGTGGAGGTGACAATAATTCCACTCAATATTTTGACTTCAGTGAACAGTGATGGATAAGCAATTTTTTTGAGCCGTGATTCCGACGTAATAAAACGAGTCTCGAAGTGCTTTTGACACACGAAAAGATTCGAAAGCTGATCTTTGGGTAATGCCTTCAAATCATCACGGTTTATACACTTTAACCACATAGTAAGTCTTTTCCAGTTGCCAGAAAAATGATATAATAAAGCGTCCTGTCGCGATCTTTTGCACACACAGCACTCGTATTACATCGTAAAAGACGTAAAATACGAATAACAATGAAGGCCTAATTGCATTTAAAGTGGAGAGTAATAAGCACAAGTACTTGAATCGATCAACACGAAACGCAAATCGCAATGAACAATAAGGCCGGCCGGCGTATCATACATGTCATGTGTCATGTCATGCTTGTCAAAGAAGCAATTTCATCAAAATTAAAAAAAAAGAAATGTCACTTATTTCCAGTAATGGCGGCCGACTATGATTGCATTCCGTTGTATGAAGATTATCCCCCGTGGTCAGTCTTGATCTCGGTTTCTCGGTCAGTCTGGGAATCGCTTGCTCGTTCATTGTGTATCTTTGCTTACGTTTCTTTAAAAGAACTTAACTTAAAAATTTTCGACTTATATATCAAAGCAAAGCAATCAAACGTTGCAGAAACAATTATTACATAACAAAATTGCAATAACTTTTCCAAGTCTTAGCAGAAAATTCCGTTAGTGAAAGTTGAAAGTATCATCAACTCAAATTATAATGAGTTCTTCTGTATATTTTCGGTCAATGAATAAAATATCGAAACTCTATTTTCTTCAATCACCAGTGAAAAGGTAAGTTTTTTTGTTTGTATTTAAAATTTTACCTATGTAAACAATAAATTTCCATAATAATTTAAATGTTATATGTTTTTAAGTTATAATATCTTGGATGGTGAAAAGTAGAAAACTAAATAACTTGTTTTTTTACTTAAGCAAAACTAACCAAGAATGAAGATAATAATACTTGAAAATTCATTAATTTAACTTGGACTTTTGCAAATTAAAATTTAGTTATAGTAGCGAAATATAATATTTTTTTCCACTTAAGGTAAATTAGTTGTTATTAAATTCAATCAGTTTTTCGTCTGCGAAAATCCATTAATGTGTTTCCATCAATCCATTGTGTGTAGAAATTATTGTCACATTAATAGAATTAATCTCATTTTGATTTGATGAATTTTCTCTGTACAATGATGTGGTGTTTTATCATTAGCTTACTGTTCTGCTAGGCACAAGCCAAAAATAAGGAGAAACAATTAAAATTTTTGAAATTTACACTTATCCACAAGATTTATTGTGCCAGAATAAAAATGTTTATGTGATGTCAATAATTATGCTTTAACTTTTTTATCTTTTATTCAAATTATCACATTAGAATTACAATACAGACAACATCACCCCTTATTATAATATCATACATTATTCAATATGACTTTAAAGATGCTGATTAGTTTGTAAATGACACCTTCATCTGATAACTGATAAATTTATTTACTATGCAAATACAATACTTTTTTTATTATTGTTATTATGAAATATTAATAATAATAGGAGTATATGGCCTACAATCTCTATTATAAATTAGAATTTCCAGGCAATTTCCCTATTTTGAAGCATCCTATAACCTCAAGTTAGCCTAGCTACACATACTCAATACTGTTTGCAAATATACAGAGATACACATACATCATCGTAATCCCTTCAGCTGTCTTCGAAACTGTAGTTTCGTAACTGGTTTCATTGAAGGCATTGTTTTTACTTGTATGTGACTAGTTTTGATGGAGGAATTATTCTTCTTTGTACAAAACCGTGTTGATATAAAATATCATGGTTACATACAAGGAATTTGTTGTTAAGGTTTCGAAGAAAGTTATATATTTCCTTGTATCTAACTAAACTAGTCATGGAAAAATATTTCTTTCATGGAGAAATTACTTATATTCAAAGAATTTTATGTTAGTCAAATTAGAATTTATTGAAACCAGAAGACTATTTATAAAATGTCAGAATAATTTATATTTTATATTTTAAATTATGTCATATAGTTAATAACTAAAACAGAAATTGTAACTGAATAAAAATATATAAAAATATATGCACAGCTATAGTATGAAATATCAATACCTACGCATATAAGTGCATTGAAAACATAGAACTTAGTGACACGCAATGTACGTTCTGTTTTATTTTTAAATTAATTACAGGTCAGTCCAAAATGTGAACACAATCAGAATGTTAGCAAACATATCAATATCTAAGAAGAAAGAAAAGGAAACTTTTATAAATATATTTCCTCTGTTAACTGAAACTCTTATAAAGAGTCCAAAATTCGCTAAGCATCCTCAAATTGGCAACTGGATGAAAAAGGTTTGTACCTACAATGTTCTTTTAATGTTTTGGTTAAGATACAAGCTAATCAGATGATGAACGGCAACAGCACATGAACAGTTGTGGACTAAATATTGACGATACTTTCAAGATGCACAAATATAGCAAACTTTGAATCAAACTCGCTATTTAAACCCTAGCTATCTTGACACCACTCACATTTTACATCAGGTAGTGAGGAGTAATTTGTAAAAAAAGCCTTTCTTTCCCTTTTATCTGTAAAAGAGAAAAGAAATAGATATGGCAGACAGTACTCAAAACTGTAACAATTACAATCAAATGATTCAGACTAACCCTTTGGGGTAACAAGCGGCGGCATGATTTTATTATATGTATGTCGGCCCTTTATCAGCATAAAACAAGTTGATCTTTTGTTTCTCTATTGTGAAGTAATCATCACTTTGCATAAATGGGACTACTTCATGTAAGACCACATGATATGAGTAAAGAAGGCACAGAGGCAAAGCTTCATACTTATAGTGTGAATGATCTTTAGTGGCTCGTCCATCGCCGCCAATAGAAACTTTTCTCTGCGTAAGCGACAGGCCGCTAGTACTCACGCACACACGCGCAATTGTGCGAGGCTAAGGGGTCATCCTAATTGGCCACGTAATCGTAGGATGGGTAGTTGCGATGTCGTCGTGCCATGAGTTCAAACATAAAGATTTCTTCAGAAGTTACCTATCCTAATACAGCTTGCAAGCCATGGCACGGGCACAGGTACAATATTTTCAGCGCCCTCCGGCTGCGGGACCGCAAGTCACTTAGAATGTGAAATTGTAGATAAAACTCAAAAGCTCACAGCAAGTTACACGGAAAAAACCGTTCCATGAGTTCTTAGCCCGAAGCATTGCCTCTTTACCTTACTTACTCATAAAGTAGACAATTAACTGAAGAGTAAGTATTTAATAATCACCAAGTTCTATATTGAACACCGTACTCAAGCAGGCAGAGCAGGCTTCAATTAACGCTCAAAATAATTTCTCGTGTTTGGCAATGCTACACTTATTATCAACGTTTATTGTGTGTTCGGACTAGTCCGTTACGTGTCATATTTTTTCTGTAAACTGGTTGTTCTCTTGAGCTTAAGTTACAGAAAATAGTGTGGTGCTTACAATTACTATTAATTTGAATAACATGTAAAAAGGAAACCCACTAAGACGTTATATTGCGAAAATCCGTAGTCGGAAGAAGCCTACAATCACAAACCTATAAATATATGTAAACGTGCACTTGTTGCGTTATATAAAAACCCAGCGTGCCATATTTTGAACACTCGGGAGTGATGGGATAGGTCCCGGACTTTAAAAGTGTGTTCCAATTCTATCGTATTTACATACGTTCATTGCAGAAATAAAACAGCGTCAAAGGAAAAACTTTACTTTCTTTTTTTTTCATGATTTTGACACGCGTAGACCAAACCCTTCCATTAGTTCCGTTATCTATTGATTATGGTCCATGTCAGTGCCTACACTTATGATAATATAAAAAGAAAAATCATTTCAAGGCTTAACAAACGTTTTCTTCTTTCAGATTCTAGAATATAATATGTGCGGTGGTAAACAGTCTCGCGGTCTCGCAACAGTTTACACGTACGAAATGATCGAGAAGCCGGAGAATATTACGGAGGAATCGATGAAATTGGCACGCATCATGGGCTGGTGTGTTGAAATGGTGAGAATAGCTATTAAATCATGTACCATAAATCATATAAACAATCCGTTGTTCTTCTTCATTCATACCATAATAACCATTACTAATTCTTCGCTTTGTAGGAAACAACGTGGTCTCTACTGATCTGTTATTTTCTTTTTTTTTCTATACATAGCTTAGAGAAGATCGATAGTGCAGGTAGCTAGTGCGTTCAGCCGGCGATCGTGGAAGTTATCATCCCTATTTCATCCGTAAGGAAGGCCTGTGCCCCAGCAGTGGGATTTGATGCGGCATCTCGTGCTAGTACCGCCTACACATGGCTATGTTTCACATACTGAATATCTACACTAACTCTTCGTATTATTGATCATTCTGCCTCACGTCGTTTCTTCAAACAGTTACAGACACATCTAGTGTTATTCGTCGAGATAATGGACGGCTTGACGACTCGCTGCGCTATGTTTCACATACTAAACATCTCAATCTCGCTATTCCGTCTATAGGGAAGGCCTGAGCCATTGGTACACTGATATCGATGGGGACATTAGTAGGCTGATGATCATGCTTAGCTACTTCGGCTTCAATTAATGCTTGTGTTGTTATACTATGAACTGTTCGTATTATTGATCATTCTGTCTCATGTTTCTCCCATGGGATAGTATGTAAAGATAGACAAAGTACCTATCGCAAGTATTCTAGTACACTGATGATGATGGGGACATTAGTAGGCTGATGGTGATGGTTAGTTACTTCGGATTCAATCAATGCTTGTGTTGTAATACTATGAACTGTTCATATTAGTGATCATCCTGCCTCATGTTTCTGCCATAGATATAGTATGTAAAGTTAGACAGAGTACCTATCGCATGTGTTCCAAAAATTTTATTCTGCTTGTGTGCGTATCGATGTTTGACTGTGAGCGATAGTGTGGTTTTGTCAAGATATTATGCTTAAAACACAAGATACTATAACACAAACTGAATTGTATAGGCACAATTTTTTTCTTAGTTTCACAGAATTTCATAATAAACTTTATCTCATTGCGACCTAACAAGACTATGTTGGCTCTTACTTTATTGGACCACAAGTATATCGTGCTGGGTCTCTTACTACTTTCTACCATGTAGGATTGTCGTAAGGGCTAATGTTGATATATCTTTTCCTCACTCAGCCAGTCTTTAAATACTAAGTCTATGGTTTCTCCATACAGTTGCATACGCACCTAGTGCTATTCGACGACATAATGGACGGCTCGACGACTCGCCGCGGTGTCTCGTGCTGGTACCGCCTCCCAGACGTGGGACTGGGCGCCATCAACGACGCCGTACTGTTACACATGGCTATGTTTCACATACTAAAGATCCACTTCAGTCAAAGAAGCTGCTACGTCAAAATACTGGATGTGTTCCATGACGTAAGTTTATTTATAGCAGTAGAGTAGAGAAGCAAATTTAAAAGTGGTGGATATAGTGGATTTGCCTCTCAAGTTCGAGCGCCCTTCTGGGGAAGCAAACTTTACCTTAAAGAAGACCCTAGTAAATAACTACCTTTTGAGCACATTCTATGTTTCACATACTGAAGATCCACTTCAGTGAAAGAAGTTGCTTCGTCAACGTACTGGATGTTTTCCATGACGTTAGTTTCATTATAGAGACATAGTCAGAAGAGAAGCAAGTCAGCATAATAAAGGTGTTTAACTAATTGTTTTCCCTTAACAAAAGGGATGACGATGGGGTGAAGTAAACGAAATTCTATGTAGTCCACCAGTTAGATTATCAAAAACAGTAATGGACTCTTATTTTTTCTTTCGTCAGTCAACCAAAAAGTTACAAAGATAAACCGTATTTTCTTTTAAGTGACGTCACATATAAGTTAAAATTTAACCAAGACGTGACGTCATGCGTCATTTCAAGTCAATATGTCTCTATAATGTTTTGATTGTGTTTAAAGAAAAAATATATGCCCGATACTTATTGATAATCTACCTACCTGCCGACTTAATCGTTAACTTTTTTGACATTTACAGTGTGCAACTAATGAGAAAATTGCATATTCATCCATTCTTTTTAGAACAAGTATCTTAGTGGCGTTCTAATAAAGCAGTAGCGGATCACTAAATAGCTTGGTGATTATCACTAAACAGTTAGCGAATAGGCCTACTGATAGACGGCGACAAAAATGGTATGAGGTGGATCCCAAACTAAAGAACATCACTGTACATCATAAAGTAACACGGAAGGAAGTAGGCATGGCGACATAATATTATTCAAATCATTCTGTAATTTTTCCGGAGGGGAATATGCACACAAATGCAGTTTAACGTACACGCATATAAAACAAAACTGTAAATACGACACTCACACATACAAAGACACAATATATCTTCAAATACTGCACACAAGTATCGTTTGTATGCCCAACCCGACAGCGGGGAAAGCTGTGTATGCATACTCTCCTCCTGGCCGCGTCGGCCGTGTTGCTCTATGCTGTACATTAATCATGAACCCCATTTAGTACGAGTCCGTCTCGCACTTGGCCGTTTTTCGTATGGTGTCATTGTCTCGAAAAGCATTAACAGCTAATTATAGGTGTAAGGACAGCGCTTTACAAAACTATTTTGTTATCCAGACTTCCACCTAATTGTCTGATTTAAATGCCTAGATCACAAAGAGTTCTGTTATTTAAAAGATAATCTTAAACTACAACCACAAAATTATACTTCGTTTTTATGTAATAATTTGCAAACAAGTACATATCCCGTTTGACGTTAAGTGGATACATAAACGCTTACGATACCAGATTATCATTTAATATCATTAGTTGTATTTATACTATATGCCGCAGCAATCAAAATGCAGGTGAACAATTAATGTATATTTCACATTATGTAATGAAAGGTAACTTAAAGAATCATCTCTAAAGTAATTTTTCTACTTGACGACTCTGTAATTAATAACACATGAACAAAAAACAGCCCTTACCTTCACGACGGCGATTTCTTGCCGTTTTTCCTTAGAACAAGGTCTCCCGCCGTAGTTTTACGAACTGAGTGCGTAGCTTCAAGACAGTCATAACTGCTTGTAGCAGCCTAAAATTAATAAATATTTTTTATTATGATTTACAATGGCTATGGATTATTCCTAGTAAAACCTTACACGCCGACAGAAAAGAAATATAATCACCTAGTGAATACATTCTAGTTTTAGTCACTAGAGATTAAAACGCTATTAACGCAGAACAAAGCAGCTCTTTTCGAAAAGATGTGATAAAAATGAAGTTACGTAGAATGATTCCTACTCATCACATCAGGGAACAAGAAAGTCTTCACTCGAAAATGAGTAAATTGCCATATGAAAATAAGAAAAAAAAAAAATTTTTTCTAGACCTTGCTAAACACGTCCATCGGCCAGCATTACGATTATATGATGGCACATCGCAACAAGAACGACTACACACAGTTCACTATAGAACGGTATAGAATCATAGCTGACAATAAGACTGCGTACTATACATTCAAGCTGCCCGTGTGTCTCGGCCTCTTACTCGCCGATAAGACGGACCATGAGACGCACAAACTAGCAGAAGACGTTACCATGGAGATCGGTCAATTTTTCCAAATACAGGTAAGCTTTATCATATTACAAAACAAGCGACTTCGTCTACGTGATTTAATTGGTTTCCTATACAAAGGACAATGGCGAACTCCCATGGAAATTTTTGTTGAAATTTTTTTTTTGCGTCTATAACTGAATTACATCTTAAATTATAGAGTTTAGATTCTCGATTTGATTCGTCTTATTTCTATTATTATAGGAAGTCTGGATTTATAGATATTCTACTTTGAAGTTTTGGAGGTTATGTCATACTAAGTAATACAAAAACGATTATAAGAGTGTTCTTATATCAAAATAAAAAAAAACGTGAATGGCACTATAAAAGTATAAGGTTCCCGTACATTAGTGACGAAAAAAAATGATTTTTATAATGTATCATCAGTGGACGTAGGTACTTATTGACCAACCGCGTCAAAATACTTAATATGTAATACTAAACAAACTAGGGTTATTTAGTTCGAATACAATGTCTGTGCTGTAAGAAGTACTTAACAATTTGAAAATGACCACAGCAATAATAAAGTATTTATACTACTATAAAGGATTTCTAATAGTGTACTGATGGGATATTAATTAAATATGAAACACTTTTCTATATATTTTTTATTCCATATCTTTGATCACAATATCGTAGATAGTAGATACAATGAAATAAAATACACAGTATGGGACGGAATCGTGTCCAAAATCCACAGCAAGAAATCGTCCGAAATATCAGATTCGGAAGTCTTAGGCAAGCACTACTCAACAGTCGCAGGGAAGATTTCGAGAGTCCAAATGCAGTCCAAGTCACATAAAAACACAAATCTCAGAAAAAAACAATGCGCCGATTTAAATCGTTGCAATACGCATGCACTTAATCACAAGAAACGATAATGATAACAATAACAACAACAATTCGATGACAAGCATGACAGTGACAGTAATAGTTTTTTGCGTTAGAATTGTCGCCATACCCTTTTTGTATTGTGGAGATTATTTATTATGGTTTCAGTATAATATTGAAAAATAATGTTTCCCGATATTTTTTATAGATAAATTAAATACAGTTTAAGCGTAAAGCGATGCCAAACATACGAACAACATATTTAAAGTTGATTTCATCACTAAAATCACTTAAAATAAATGGCTCAAAAGCCATGATGCCAAGCCACAATAAAAATAAAAAATAAATAGTCAATTGTGTTCCCCTTTTTTAAAGTTTTTAATTCCAGACTTAGACAACCCTCCTGAATTGTTGAATAAATCTTTTGAGATTATTTTATTAACATTTCTGATAATGACATCTATAGACGCTAAAGATTTACTTCAACAAATATTTCGCCATTGTCCTTTCCACCCTTCTTTTCACCCCTTTAAAAAACGAGGAGCTTGATGGCGCAAGTGATTAGCGTTTTCGGCTGCTATCGTTGATGTTAAGCAACTTTGGCAGTGGTCCGTCATTGGATGGGCGACCAAAAATTTACTATCTCGAGCTCCTCCGTGCTTTGGAAGGCACGTGAACCCGTTGATCTCGGCTGCATCGTCAGAAGTTAACACCCACCAATCCTCACTGGGCCCGCGAGAGGGGTCATGGCCTACTCTTCGTATTCCATCCATAGAAAAGGCCTATGCCCCAGCAGTGGGGACATTAATAGGGTGATATTGATAGAACGGTATAGCACCATCGCTGATATGAAGACTGCGTATTATACATTCAAGCTGCCCGTGTGTCTCGGCCCCTATCTCGCCGATAAGATGGACTATGAGACGCACAAACTAGCTGAAGACGTAACTATTGAGATCAGACAATTTTTCAAATACAGGTAAGCGTCACCTTTATCTTTACATTGTATCAAACCACACAATATCTTCTGAAGTAAGAGGGGATCCCTAGTTAGAAAATTACGGTCACTCACCCAATGACGGACCATTACGGAACACTATCGTTGAGCCCTCGCAACTCAAACAGGACATTTTGTTAAACATTTTATTTTTTGTTTTCATTTATCGACCTCTAGACCAGTTTTCAAGATGTCGCCTACACAGAGCTAATGGTTTTGGATCCCGATGGAAAAAATGTTGTCTGTACATCAGTCATGTTTATAAATATATACAGTCAGTCCTGGTACTTACGGCATGTTAGGTTCTCGAAATACGTGACGTAAATCGAAGCGGCGTAAGTCGAGACATTCCCACGAACGCCGGCCCCACGGACATTGAGCTCGCGACAAGTGAATTCTTCTATGCCGGAAATCGAAACAATTGACGTATGCTTGAGGAATAGTATCAAACATTGTTTGACGTAACTTGAAACGACGTAAGTCGAGGACTGCCTGTACTTATCTTTTTGTGTCATTATAATAACGTACTTTTATCTGTTACCCTAGCATCCCATAACACGAGTCTCATAGTGCTTTTTGGGGTAGGCTAATTGGTGGTGTTAGTAATATTCATTTGTATTATTATTTGTCCCCTAGGATGACTACATAGATTGCTTCAGCGACGAATCCATCACGGGAAAAGTTGGCACTGATATACAAGAAGGGAAATGCACGTGGCTAGCCGTTATGGCTTTGCAGCGCTGCAATGCTGAACAACGATCTCTATTCGAACAATGTTACGGCAGCTCAGAACCTATTGACGTGCAGCGCATCAAGCAGCTTTACGAGACTTTGGAACTTCCACTGTTATACAAAGAATATGAACGTAATGTCTACAATAGAGTATTAGAACGCGCGAATAACGCCGCCAGTGGTGCTTTACCGTCGGCTTTAATTTTAAGACTTTTCAATCTGATTCATAAAAGAAAAGGTTAATGATTTTGCTTTGTTGTTTATTATTATAGCAAATATATGTTTTTTTTTTTATTGATTTAATAGAGTTTGAATAACTCTAGCAGTAATACATGGAACCCTCAATCTTTAAGTCTTCCATCGCTAGTCGTATTTTATTTTTTCATAAATGTATCTTAGTAGTTACTGATTCTATAGAAACATGGTAAAAAACTTTATAAGTACAGTATTCTACAATAATTATAATATATTCTGATTTAATTACGAAGGAAGAATTTATTTTAAGTAGTTACCATATCGTCTTCACGGATTTTATCCAAGTTTGAGCAGGGTATTATCTTGTCTTAGCAATAACTTAATTCCAAAAAGATGACCATATTTTATATGTCCATAAATATCCTAACCATACTACCGTTTAATTAGTTATTATGTATTTTTTATATAAAATATTTAAATGATTTTCAAATCTTTTAAAAAAATTATCAAAAATCGCGGAGTAGTTAACGAAATGTAGAATGTCGTAAGCGCACGCGCAATAGAACTGACCTGAAAGCAGCACATAATCGCGCTCGATGCTAACTTCATAATCGCTATTAAGTTTTAGACGAACGATTTTTAGCACGTTAACGATTATTAATTTAAGTATCATTTCGTAATTTGCTCAATAGACATGATTTTTATGAATATTGTGTTTGTTTAGACTTACACAAAACCATCATCTCTCTTGTCGTATAAACATTAAGGTAGGTACATAATTTTGTAGCATAAATGATACCGAAAGTAAAAGAGTCTCGGTAGGTACGAAAATATGTTAAGTATGTTTTGTTTTATCTAGTTCAGTAAAATAAAACGAGACTGTGTTTCCTTGGTAAAAAGTAAGTACAGAAATTGTTGGGAAATAATGAATTATACGGATGTATGTAATGTTAATGATACCTGTGATTTCTCAATTTTGAATGAAACACTTGGCTGTTATTTTAGTAACATTATTTATTTTGAAGGCTGAAGAGCCTTTTAAGTAATCGTTGGCATAGCTATAAATTATCGTAGGGGGCAGCCGTTTATGTAATTAAGAATAAATTATTTAATAACACTTCTTATTATTGTAAATAGAAGTTCGAGGGATTTGTATGGTATAAATGAAGAATTAAACGGTTTTTATATAACTTTGTTTTTTTTTAATAATCAATCATGCTTAGTAACAATGACAGTTACAGAAATAACGCACAACCTGAATGTAATAAATTATTGTTCAAATATTCAAATGTACTAATATCTATACATATAATAAAATGGAAGGAAAGTCAAAACTGTACATTGAATTTTTTTAAGAATACTAGGGTGTGATCTACAATCGATACCGAACCAAAAAATATAGTTTTTAGATTTATGGTCTGTTTGTATGTCCGGGATAAACTCAAAAAGTACTGCATGGATTTACTTCAAATTTGGCACGAATATTATTAAGAAGTCTGCCCCCGTAGCATGAGTAACAAAACGCGATATGTTATAGCGATTTATCGACATTAACTGTCAAACTACAATGGAGTTTGACAGTTTGACAGACAGACAGTAGAAAGTGTCGATAAATCACTTTATCATATCGCGTTTTGTTAGTCATGCTAGGGGGACTGGTCAACATATAGGCTACATATTATCACGCTATCACCTACGGGGAGCGAGCAGTGAACCTTTATTTCTAACTAACTCCACGCGTACGAAGTCGCGGGCAGCCGCTAGTCAGTAATATTTATAATAATTTAAGTAATAGTGGTCTCAATGTTACTGAAATAATTTAGCTCTTACTACCTTATGTTGCATATTCTGTTTGGAATGTAATGATTAAATTAATGTTTTTTTTTGTTTTAGATTAACTTAATTTTTATTGAAATCCAACCAACCAATTACTTTTAGGGTGTGCGTTATTTTTGGTTACACGTTGTTTAAAGGAGGAAATAATAGAAGATCCTTGATTTAATTCATCATCCCATCTTTTACATCTTAGGAATATATAAGATATAGATTTAATAAAGTCTGCCTAGCACTAAATGTGGGTAGTTAGACAACGAACCAAAGGTTATCCAATAGGTTTTCAACCTTAATGATTGAGGTCTAGGGACAAAATCAATCAATGCCTAATGATGAATAATGAAAAAAAACCTAGTGTGCTTATGTCCACACGACTGAAGTGAAACTTCTTTAGCTGTGTATATATATATATATATATATATATATATATATACGTATATAATTGTGTGTGTGTGTACAATATATATATGTTATACATATACATATTTCATATGCTATAAGAGAAAGAAAATGTGCGCGCGCACTGCTTTCTCTTGCTTATATTCCCCACTGAACTCCCGTTCGCCTTGCCCGAACACACTTTTTCGTAACGCGTAACGCATTCGCCAGCTTACAAAGTTTCACTTCAAATAGGTGGGTGGAATGATAAAGGTAGATAGGACTATAGTTATATGGTCCTCGTGTTGGAACTTTGAAAGGAATTTGATATTTTTATGTCGCGGCACGCTATGATGGCCGTTTTGAGACATTACAATAGTGACGTGAAAAGTATGTGTTATCGAAAAAATAAACTACCTAATTGTTTAATCAAATAAGGGGCCCAACAAGGTATTATTTTTTGGAAGTTCAACCAATATTATAACAAGTAGCTGATTAAAAAAATTGAATCAAACGAACATATAAATGTATATTAGCGAAACTAGTCCTATAGTGGATGCGAGAGCAAACAGGTTTTGGTCGTCTTCTGCTTGTTATGACATCATGTCGCAGAGGGGTCTTAGCGTGTAGTCTTAACGTAGACCTTAGAACGTACATTTGTCTAACTGTTATAACCTGGGCGGTTGTTAGAGGTCTTTTAATTATAACACGAGAGAGGAGCTGTCGTGCGTTTAATAAGCAAAATGAACAACACAAGTGTTACTAGTTACAACCAAACTAAGGAACTATCCCACGAATTGCAAAACGTGAAACTGTATTTTGGTTACTTACAAGTGTTTTGGTCGATCGGCTTGGTCGTTTCTTGCGTGTGTCTAATTATGCAAATAGTACTTTATGTTATCCGGAAAGAGTGCCGGAAGCCCGACGAGAAAATATTGACGCAAATGACATTAGCTAGGATCATTCTGACGTTCTGTGAATACTGGATGTACATGTACTACGAAACAGTGACATTAAAATTGTACTTGCAGCTGATAATTATCGTGCGCTTTTACTCGGGATTCAGTCTCGTCATGTGGATGTTTGTGTTCACTAAAAATCTGTACGACAAAATAGTCATTGGTATCAATTCTGACATGATTCTCTAAACCTAAACTTAAATTTGACAACAGTGTATCCTTGTTATTCTCTATACAGCATGAAAAGGAGAGACTGATGTTAAATTTAGATTTAAGTTTAGAGAATCACGCCAGAATTGGCACCATTGTGTTACCAACAAGAAGACTAACATTGCTAATGATATCTATCTTGGTGTGGACTGTATCGCTTCCTTTCGGCCTATTGGCCATATTAACATTTACGCAAACCAATCAAAAGTACTTTTTTATGTTTCGTAAAATATACTCTTGCTTGAAATTCATCATTGTTACACTAAACGCTGTTTTTTATATTAAAATATTCTATGTGGCCTTTAGTAAGGGTGTGAGAAGTCAAAGGAACTTTAGTGACACATCGAAGACTATTTTTATGGCATCCCTTTTGGCCGTCACTACTTGCGTTCAGGTGTTCATTAATGACGTTTTAGCTATGTTTTTCTGGAAGCCTTCATTCTACATAGTCCGTGTCATAAATTCATTTCACGCATTACTGATCACAATAATTTTCATCAGTATATTGAAGGCGAAGAGAAAGAAACGGAAAGAAACCATAGTTCATTCAAATAACGTAACGGTGACTGAGTTTTCTAGTGATGCAAAATAAATATATAACTTAACTATAACACTTATAACATATTTTTTTATAAAGAATCTTATCAAAATGATTCCACATCACCTAACACTAAGCGTAAGAAAAGTCCATACATCCATAAACTTTATTACATAGCTTCATCTTATAGGTATATAAATCCTCATGTCACAATGTTAGTTACCATACTTCTAAACGGCCATACCGATTTTCTACTCCTAACTTTTATTTCTTTGCCAAAATTTTATTTTTGTACTTTTTTATAATAAGGCATTAAAAAATACATACAACCCTAAATGTTGACCCCTCTACCACCAGCCCCTATTTTTATGGCGGTACGTCTGGGTCATCTGGCTAGCTAGTACCCAACTAGCACAAACTAGTTGCTTAAGAGCCCTTTTACAAAATTGCACCGCTGCCGTACTAATCGGCGCGTAAGTAGTATATATTGCATTTTACGAGTGATGTTTAGAGTCTTATAAAATAATTTTTAATGAACTAATTATGAAAATTTATACATGTTTCAGTAGTTCAATGATGGTGGATTAGTTTTATAAAAGTTTTAGATAGTAATTCTATTTAATTCAATATCAAAATACGGGGTAAACCTGCATTTTTTTTTTGGGAAAACTCACGGAGGTTAGATGTTTTTTTTGATAATTAATGAGATAGAAAATCAAAATTCTAATACATTATGTTACAACACAAAGATATTTCTGATGTCTTAGTAATTAATTTGATCGAATTTATTGAACATTATTGTGAGATTCAGGCGTTTGATGTTGTGCATATTATCGTTTTTTCTGTAAACTAGGTGCACTAGAACGATCATTACAAAAAAAGGAAAATAGTATTTGCAAATATCGTACATTGGTGTCGATTCTGACATGATTCTCTAAACCTAAACATAAATTTGACAACAGTGCATCCTTGTCATTCGCTATACAGAATGAAAAGGGGAGACTGATGTTTAATTAACTTTTAAGTTTAGAGAATCACGCCAGAATCGATACCATTAACTTTCAATAGGAAGAATAATTCTACTGTTAACTTCTATTGGAAATAGTCAAAATCTTTTCTAAGGGGGTAAATAAGGCGCTCAAAAATTACGATTTTTTGCAAAAAATGTGAAAGGGCTCTTAAGAGCTTTGGAGCTTATCTGATTATTCCCAAAGGCGCCAAGCTCAAGCGCCAGAGCGTGCACTGCAGACCTTATGCAACCGCTTTGCAGCCAAAGGGGCACAATTTTTTGCAACCTACAGTTCCATTAGAACTTCATAGTAGTGGCATAAAAGCGCTACAGGAGCTGCCACTAATAATTAACACCACACTAAAGCTTTTGTGGCACGTATTGAATGAATGACAGGTTTAACTGAACGAATAAAGGATCACTGATCATTCACCTTGTCTCTCATTTATTAAATACATCTGTTGTTCCTGTGTCAGACATTACTGAATACAAATAAATAATAAGTGAAATGAAGGTAAGTGAGAGTTTGAGCTATATTTTGTATTATATGCAAGTAGCTAAAAACGCAGATCAGTTTATCGTGCATATGGTTGATATTATTGGAGTATTTTTAACGCGCCTCAATAATTACTTCAGAATATCGTAAAATATGTAAAATATTATTATATAAATAATATTATATCACATACCTACACGATATTGAAATTACATTTTGTATTTAGTAAGTTGCTGGTTCTATATTTAGTCATATTTTACTACAAATTGTGATAAAACCTATAAATTTCTCAAGTAATGATAAATGATTATCTTGTAAACATGGCGCCTATGAGAAGCAGCTTTAACTTGCAACTTCAACCTTAATACTTCCTCTCTGGACGTCAAAGCGTTATGTTTCACTCTTCTGAAGGTCCAAGTAATACCTGTACCACTAATGCAGTTCAAGTCTTTACAATCACTTTTATTTCGTACTTACTGCAGGCATCGGACCAACTAATGGTAATTTGTTTAGAGATCCGTAGAACTCGTTGAAAACCCTAAAATACGATGATCGTTTATAGATGCTTCTATATTTTTCGCTCTGTTAACACTAACTATGTCTTACCATGTTTTCAGAATGCCTACAAAAATAATACAAACTTATAATGAACAACAAAATAAACAAGAACTTTGCATCTGTCCATCTACGTGGGAAAAACATGGAGTGTTACACTGGCCGACAAAAAAAGTAAAAAATATGTAATATAGAAGATTGAACTCC